CAAAGATAAATAATATGCTCCTTAAGAATTATATAACGATAATAATAACAATAAGAGTGTAATTTGTTCGTTTAGTACATACTGAAATTATTCAACATTTTCAGCTAAATATGAGGATATTTTGCGACTTTGGTAATGCAATTTAAAAATTACTTTGCAATTGAAAAAGTTTTAGTATTTTATTATTCGTGCAATTTCGAGGTATATTACTTAGATCATTTTACATAAGACTGAAACAAACCAAGGATTTTGAAATTATAATAAACTACATTGAAATTTTTTAATACTGATTACATGCAATCCATAATTTAACTGCACTTTCATGTTATTATATTCATTTGAAATTTGCGCGCATACATTTTTCGCAATTATTGTCCGATTAAAAATAAATAAATAAGATTAAATTCAATTCAAAGAATTTAATAAATTTTCAAATTCTCGTTTTAGAAACTTTGATGAAAACAGAACTGTAACAAACTTTAAAAATACCTCTTTTGAGATCCAAGAGTGTTGTGCGTGTTCATGCATATTTTTACATTTATGTGTGTTCCTAAGTCGGCGAGTACAATGTACAACTGTACATAAATTCTACATACAAAAACCGTAGATACGAGCATAAATAATGTTTTGTGTGCAAGATTGACTATCTATATATACACGTTCGTGCACATGAATGTATACTTGCATTTATTCTCATACATAGAAAGTAATTGAAACCTTTACGTACTAAGGCAAATAGAATTTTATTTTAATAGTTTATACGTTTTTATTTGATCAAAAACATTTAATTTCATCAAGCTGGGCTACATTGTAATTAAATTCTTATGGAAGAATTTCCAAGTTAAAAATTTCAATAGAGAATGCTATTTTCATAAGTAAAAGATTTAGAGTTAAGTTTAGTTATAAAATTATAATATGACAAACTTTACTTCCCGTTAAAACCAGAATAATCCAAGGAGTCTATTTATTAGGGACAACGACAAAACATTTCGAGTCTATTTATTAAAGGGAACAAAAAAATTTTTTGAAATACATGTTAATCTATATTAAAACTAATCCACTGTCGTAAACTCTTTTTCCTTTTTACTAATTGTTGATAATAAATTAGATGATATTAAGTAAAATTATTTATTGATACTTGTAAAAAAAGTTAATGTGTATTAATTATTTCTTCAAATAATACCGTAGTATTGTGTTTTCGTATTAAACTTTTATATATTCAAATTATATAGTTTTAATTATTCTTATCTATACACTTATCTTCTTTAATAAAAAAATTTTAGATAAGAGAAAAATGCGACAATATACTTTAATTATATATGCTTTCGTACATACATACGCACACACACACACACACATATATATATATATATATATATATATATTATTTAAGTATTTGACAGACTTACAAGTTTTTATTACATAATAATTGCATTTGAATAAACCGTAGAAAAAAAATATATATTTGTACATATACGATTACATATCTTATTCCGTAATACATTGTCATTAGACAATGTTATAATCTGTAATTAGAATTTCATTAAATAAGTTTTATTGCTTTTCTAATAAATGCACTCATTTGTATAAAAGAAAAAACACATTAAATGGAATATTTTATACGTAAGCTCGTGCGATGTAATTTTAAAACGTAATACACAAAATTTATGCTGGACAGATAAAATTTGTAATTAAACTGAGAAAGTCAAAAATATTTCATTGAAATTTTGAACTATTAATTCCAAATTTCAACTATTATTTGAAATTCTAACCGCCGAAACAGCTGTTTCAATATATTTTTCGGTTGGAATAAGTATAATTCTGCTGTACAGATGAATTATTAGTGCTGAAAGGAATTTCTTTTCATATTTTCATTCATACAAAAAGTAATATTTAATTTGTAACATTTTTTCTACTGAGATAAAAGTACAAATATTAATAATAAAAGTGTTGTAGTTTCGATATTATTGAATTAAAATTGACAATGTTATACAATTTATATTTATTTACTTGGTTTATTTTTGTTTATCTTGATTTATTTAGTAATTAATTTAATTAATTACTTTATTTATTGAATTTGTTCTTAGTTTTTTCATTGTTCGTAATTTGGCTTATCTTGTATAAATATTTTATAATAATGAAATGTATGAAAATGGACGTATTTATTTATTCATATCTAAAGTTAAAATAAAGTCATAATTTTACATCGAGTACAGGATTAACAAGTTTGTAATCATAAAATGTAATATTAAATAGGTTAAATAAAGTTTTGATCAGAAGTTACTTTAAAAGCGCGGTTAATTAAAAGATAAGCTTTCGAAGTGGATAATTTTAATAAATAGTAAATTTTTTTGCCAATAAATATAATGGGATGCAAATGTTATTGGGCATTGAATTTCTTATAGAGAATTTAATTGAACGTAAAAGATAAGAATTCAAATAAAGCGAATGAAAACGATGGAGCATCGTCGAAATCTCGATGCCAAATGGACAGAAGCATCGATGAGGATGTATACGAGCGTTATCTCGTCGAAAATTTTCATGCCCATCCGGGATTACAGATCATGGAGTCAACAAGGATGACGCAGCTGGTTCATCGTTCAGAAAGATATCCAGGCCGGGAAATAGAGGCGTGTAATTCAATAGATGAGTGGGAGAGGGGCTTGGTGGGAGGAGATGAAAGAGAGAGAGAGAGAGAGAGAGAGAGAGAGAGAGAGAGAAAGCAGTGATAAGCGATTCATGGCTTACGGACTCGAGCATCGTCGCACCGAGCCATTCGACCCGAGCGCGTAGGCAAACTCGGAATAATGTCACACGGATGAAATGTAGGCATCCCGCTATTGCTATTATGATTGATGAGCCCCAGAGTTGCTTTCCGCCTTCACCCCGCTTATTTCAATGACTCGCCACGGCACTGTGTTTAGGAAGTAAAATTAATGAGATTTCTACGCCGTTCGCTCGAGCTCTCCGTTACATTTTTCATACATTTTAAGCGTCTTCAACGCATCCAGAGATTAATGAAAGCTCCACTGTTATTAAGAATTTACAAGCATTCGCTGCTTATATTTTCTTCCTACTGTCAATTTTAGACATCCCAATGCTTTTTATAGATCCTAAATTACGTATTGTCATAAAAATATGGTCATTATAAATCCAAACTGCTCATTACGTCAATATGCAAGCTTCCAAATATCTAAATGCATGCTTATACGAGTCGATAAACTCCTACTATTCACATTAATAAAACATTCTATGGAGAAAGAATCATTTATAGTTTCCTGATGAATTGAAGTTTATATAAATTAGTCAGAAATAACTGTAATATGTGAACTGGGCAATGTACATAATGAACGAGCTCGTAAACACGTGATACTTGAAGAAATAGTTGCTACGTGCTGATATCCAAACATAGATAAGAGAATTTATATAAACGATGAGGCGCTCTTGTCCAATTATTTTAGCAGCTTTAAACTAAACTTTTAATAACTTTAAAACCCCATTTGTATTGGTAGAGAAAATATTTGAATTTATCTTTATCAGAGAGTTATTTAGAAATATATTGGAGTTAGAAGAGAGATTTGAAGAAATGGGGGGAAAAAAAATTATTAAATGCACAACTACATATCAGAGTCAAGTAAAATAAACGAAATAGAGTATACGATAAAAAATAATAATACATGTACTATATGAAATAGAAAAGGTAATAATTAAAGAAAAAAATACAAAAAAAAATATATAAGAATGTAAAAACTCGTGCATGTAAAAAAAAGTGAAAAAAGGGCAGAAAAATTCCACGATCATAATAATGTAAAAAAAAAAGCGAGAAATTAATAACTAAAGAAAAAATAATTTATAGCATTTTTATGATCCGTAAGAATGAAGATACAATAAAATGTCTAACAGAATATGGTGTGGACGAAACGGCTACAGTAATGTGAATGATATCGATAAGAAAATTAATGAAACCTCGTATGAAAGCTTTCGCCAACCTACATTTTTCCAAGAATTTATATTTATTAAAAAGATGTAGTAAATATTAATGTTTATTAACCTAACTTTTTATATATTACATATTTCAACTTTAAAATTTATTTTCATTAGTCTGAACGATATAAGAGAGAAAAAATATATGCACATATGTATAAATGTGCGAAAAATTTATATTTCTAAAAGCAGATCTGAATATTTAGAGATAATAATGAAATTAATATTATAACCAATAAAAAGGCTATTCGAATATCAATTTTTTTTTTTTTTTAACTACTTCGTACATTATTTCTGTACAATATATTAATTAAATTTCAATTTATTCAATAACCTTCAGTGAGACTTATTTATATAAGATATATCGATTCAACTTACTTTCTTTATTAGCGATATAATAAGAGAGTAAGAGAGGGTGTTTTGGAATACTTGTGTCCACTTTCATTCCTGAAATCTTGAAATACCTAACGTATAAAATCTTACGTTACTATTATCAAAATCTCACCATAAACGATTTCATAAAATTCGACAAAATAATTCCTTAACAATATGATAAGAGATAACTAACGTTAACTAAACAATAACTGTACATTAGTTATTTCAAACATTAATTTCTTTTAATATTAAAGTTAATTAATATATAACTCTAAATATATATATATATATATATATATATATATATATATATATATATAACCTACACATATGTATATTTGTATTTACACTTGAAGTTTTGAATAGCAAAGTAATTAAGTTGTAAAATAATTCCAAAACTGAAAATAACTGATATTTCACATACTTGTACTCTTAAATTATATTTTTAAGTGATTATAAATCGCATAACAATAACTAATTGAATTATTAGCCAATAATCAATAAAAATTAGAACCAAAGTAACCGTGATATAAAAACATCTTCATTCGAATTATTCAATTGGCCTTTGCAACAATATTATAAATTTTTTAATATTGCAATAAATACGTTTAAATTCTATGACATTTTATTTCTCATTGCAGCTTCATCTCCGGGAAAATGCTGGTTCCCAACGTGGCTAACCGGGAAAACCAGCCTTACCTGGCATACCCTCGATCTCACGCGTTCCTACACTTTTCACATGAGCAATGCATCCCTTCATACAGCCAGATCAAATGGGAGCGCCAGGAGCTCCGAAACTCCGGATTTCCTGAATCTTCTTGGTCAGGACGAGCACAACGTCAAAATACTCTGCAATAGCGTGAAAGTAGCCGATGTTGAACAAAATGTTTTCATGATTGTGGCTCATTTCACTGTGGGATGGTGAGTCTTTTATTTTTTACTCCCTATGCTTGGAGAATATTGGCAGTTAGAAATGAAATTACTTTTGTTTTAATAATCTATGAAAATCATATAAAATTTCTATAATACAAAAGTTTTTTTTTTTAACACGCAAGTAATGGGGCTCTGTTTTACAATGTTTTCTAAATTACAAATAAATTAATATAATAGAATATCAATAATTATGGAAATATGTAAAGTTGAAAAAGTATATTTTCACTAACTTTTCATTTAGACTTTAATAGAAATTATCCACAAATATAAAATATCATAGTATACGCTTTATTTCGTAAACTATTTCTGAATTTTTACAAGACATGTATAAGTATGATAATTATAGTTTGATTTTGTGGTCGGAATATCATACAAGTAATAGTATTCATTATAAATACTATCATTTTGTTTTCAATTATGTCAAGTGGAAATTATGTTTATTAGTTGATATTTAAACTTATAATTCTATTATTAACGTAAGAAAAAGAAAACAATGTAAAAATGTAAATATTGGACTAGATCACTGTAAATATTAGGTTTTTTTGTTTTGTTTATTATAAAAATTATGTTTCTTACAATTGTCAAATTTGTTAATTACCGATGAACATTGTATTTTCAACATAATTAACAAATATTCTCAGATAGATTGTATATTATCCTAAAAATATATTTTATTTATAAATAAGTACACATGAATTTCTACGCTAATTCAGTGATTTCAATGAATTTAGAATTTCACTTAAGATATGTCTCTCTCTCTCTCTCTCTCTCTCTCTCTCTCTCTCTCTCTCTCTCTCTCTCTCTCTCAGATAAATAATAAATTAAACTAAATTGATTATTTAATAATTATTAACTAATAATAAATAATAATATGTTATTTAATGTTAGATAATATTAAATATTAATATATAGTATGGACACATTATTATGAAATAAATATCAAAGTAGACGCGTAAGGCAACTTGTCACATTATCTGGACGACCGATTGACTTTTTGAATACATCAGGCGAAAGGTTTAGTAAGTCTCTCAAATCAGATGTATCCGTATCTCGTCCCTAAAATCTCCATTCGTATAACAAAGTCATCGGATCATCGCTCGTAGCAGAATAAGTTCACAGAACATATCACGAAAATGTAATTGGTTATTCTGCCATGGAAACAACGAGTGCCGGCACTAGATTTCCATTGGCTTTGCATTCGATAAGGGGATGGCAGCAATGACGGCGAAACTCGTTACGATGAAAGAGCGAGGGA